AACAAAAAAAAAAAAAAAAAAAAAAAAAAAAAAAAAAAAGTCAGGGAATAGTTTGGAAAGAAATGACAGAAGTTTTGCATGATATGTTCTATAAATTGTTATTATGTTACTTCATCTGAATGAAGTTTCTCCGGAGTAGAATAGAGCCTCTGTAAATGGTCATTAGTAGTACATTCTGTATTTATCTAATGAAAGTGCAGTGACAAGTAGCTGCTTCTTATTAAAATGAAAATCCTGCATTATGTGCTTGAGGAACGTTTCAGCTAATGAGGATGTAATGTCCTCAGTACAACACAGACCTTCTTTTTTGTGTTCACCACCACAAGATGCTGGAAACTTGACAAATGATATCATTTAAGACACATGCCTGCCTTAGGGACCTGTTTTTTGGCTTCCTGTTTCTGGCTTTTATTTGGGTAACATCTATAATGGCCACCCGACTTGTACCTGGGTAATGTTTTAACCCCTTCATAGAGTTCTCAATTAGCGTGAATTTATTACAGTCAGGGTTCCCTTTAAAATGGGTCAGGGGTGCCAAGTACTAAAAATATGTTTCTTGATCACTTTACCACATGTACATATGGGATAAGTGCCATATTTTAGATTTATGTAAAAACAGATGAGCAATGTGCAGCTTACAGAATAAATACAATAAAAAAAGGTCAGGCGCTGTAACTTTGGATGATAATTTCCTAGTGGTTACAATGCAAGTTTTAATGACTGTAACTCAGATGCAAAATGGCCTGATTTGATGAATTCATAATTACTCTGCTCTATACTTTTTATTCTCTTGTTTTATTAAATATTTTGTTATCTATAGTACTTATTAGAGAAACATATCAATGAAAACTGCATTAAACTTTAACTGGGGGTTAAAGTTTTTTGTTTTGTTTTGTTTCCTGAAAGCTAGATTTTCTGTAACTAATTTCCCATTTATGGCTTGGAATTAAATATTTAGGATTATATTTCAGATGTCAAAATTTGAAACTGGATTATCAAAATTGTTAGTATGGTCATTATAAATTTTGTATTTTTACTAGGCCTTTAGCATCATTATATTTCAAGCTATAAAATGATGGTTGTTTGGTTATGAGAAACTTATTGCTGTTACCTGAGCAAAGTATGGAATGCTGGCAAAAAAAAAAGTTATACAACATGCATAAATAACATTTTACTAACATGTATGAGTTCAAGTAATTCTTGGTAGAAGAGAGTTGATATTCAAAGAAATTCAAATCAGGTGCATATTTCAATTATGTGTGCTTGAATCTTCTGTTTCATTCTTTCACTAGGCCTAAGTAACTAGTTAGATGTGACCACAGGAATAAAAGTGGCCTAGTATAAATCCTATCCTAGCATCCATTCTTGATGTGATGCTTTTGCCCAATATAGACCTACCTTACAGTGCTAGCTCATGGCACCCTAGCGGGCATGAATGCGCTCAGAAAGGCTGGCATGGTCCCCTATGCAATAGGGTAAGTACTGCGTGGAGTGCAGTTTGGGGGAAACCAATATTGCAGAGAAGCACTGAGCCAAAAGTACAGAGATCTGAATGCGACTCCCCCCACCCCCAAGCAGAAGTTTCCCTTGAACGACACTATCTGAAGGTGTCTTTCTGCCAACATGAAATTAAAGTGATAATTAAAACATACCCTGCTGATGGGTGGTAGCATCCATTACAAGAGATGGATTTGTGCTTAGAGCTCAGAAACTTCTTCCATAAAATCATCAGCTACTGTTGAGCCTTACCCTCTGCACATAAAGAGCTGCACAGAATCTTATAATGACTCGAGCAAACCATTTCCTAGGTCAGTGGAAGATGTAGAAACATACTTAAGGAATAAAGGATGTCCCACCTAGAGAGCACTTTCCTTCGTACCATGGACGCCAAAAC